GCGGCCGACGGTAATCGCCGCCCAGAACACGCAGGTCAAGTACCCGGCGGTCTTGTGAGGTAGATTCATAGGGGGCGCCACTGCATAGCTGTACACAAAGCCTGTGTATGAGCCCTGAGGAGCGAGACATTCAATAATACATGAGTTCAAGTAATTAAGCAAATGCTCTTAAATTACAGAGCTGAAACGGCTGTGAAGTGCTAATCCTGCTTACCACTATACCGTCAGAAAAGAAGAGCACCAGACCCCCGAGGATATGGATCCAAAAGAAAGACAGTGGAAAGCTGTTCGTGTTTCCAAGGAGACAGCAGCTGAACAAGCCTATATGGCCTGTAGATACAGAGAGAAGAGCCGGGAAGATTACAACTACATCCTTCCTGGCTGTTTCCGACATCTAAAGACATGTTTGGCCGTCTCCATTTCTGACTTCATGCACTTTCAATCCCGCTCATGTCTGATCCAACTAATTATTTCATCACCGTGAGTGCTGTCTTACTTCTGGAAGACTCTTTCTGATGTCCAGCGTCTTCTGTCAGACCTGTGGTTCCCCAGGTTTTCATCGCTAGCACGTCTCCATCTAGCAAACGTCGATTGGGGTTTGATCCGCAGGAGAACAAGCGCTCAAAATACATCAGGATGAATATTGCAACAGGTACTGGAAGCTACACAAAAACAAGACAGAGAATAAAGACGGGGACGATTAGGGATTTCGGATTCTTTATGGAATCCTTCTTTTGGTGAAGACAGGTGCTGAACCCAAATGCAAAGCATTCATAAAACTGTGTAGTGGAAACTATATAACCTCAAACAGCAGTTTTAACACAAACATTAGAATGTAAATGCATTTGACTACAAATAAAGGGTGAGTTTAAACAGATTCTGCCAGATTAGAACCGGTTGTTTCAAACAGTTGAGAAATATATATATAAAAACTCACCTAAGGGATTATTAGGAACACCACACTAATACTGTGTTTGACCCCCTTTCGCCTTCAGAACTGCCTTAATTCTACGTGGCATTGATTCAACAAGGTGCTGAAAGCATTCTTTAGAAATGTTGGCCCATATTAATAGGATAACATCATGTAGTTGATGGAGATTTGTGGGATGCACATCCAGGGCACGAAGCTCCCGTTCCACCACATCCCAATTTAAGATGCTCAATTGGGTTGAGATCTGGTGACTGTGGGGGCCATTTTAGTACAGTGAACTCTTTGGCATGTTCAAGAAACCAATTTGAAATGATTCGAGCTTTGTGACATGGTGCATTATCCTGCTGGAAGTAGCCATCAGAGGATGGGGACATGGTGGCCATAAAGGGATGGAAATGGTCAGAAACAAAGCTCAGGTAGGCCGTGGCATTTAAACGATGCCCAATTGGCACTAAGGGGCCTAAAGTGTGCCAAGAAAACATCCCCCACACCATTACACCACCACCACCAGCCTGCACAGTGGGAACAAGGCATGATGGATCCATGTTCTCATTCTGTTTACGCCAAATTATGACTCTACCATCTGAATGTCTCAACAGAAATCAAGACTCATCAGACCAGGCAACATTTTTCCAGTCTTCAACTGTCCAATTTTGGTGAGCTCTTGCAAATTGTCGCCTCTTTTTCCTATTTGTAGTGGAGATGAGTGGTACCCGGTGGGGTCTTCTGCTGTTGTAGCCCATCCGCCTCAAGGTTGTGCGTGTTGTGGCTTCACAAATGCTTTGCTGAATACCTCGGTTGTAACGAGTGGTTATTTCAGTCAAAGTTGCTCTCCTATCAGCTTGAATCAGTCGGCCCATTCTCCTCTGACCTCTAGCATCAACAAGGCATTTTCGCCCACAGGACTGCCGCATACTGGATGTTTTTCCCTGAAGTTATCAGTTATCATCATTAAAAGATCTTAAAACGAGCGTTTCATTCATAAATCTGTAAGATCTTACCTTCATGCTGTGGAAATACAAACCGGAAGACAGAACACAAAGCTGAAAAGGGGGCGGGGCTTCATAAGGTCTATATTCCCCAGGTGTGTCCGTTATATTATCACTATTTACCTAGTTTAGTCATTAGACATTATAGCCAGTGCTTATGCAGACATGATTGATGGGGTGCAGTTGCCAAGGTGACAATCTTAGTTCATTTCTTTTATTCAAATACCCTCCCAGCTGACTCTTCCTTTGACATTAGAGCTGACTGAGCATTTAATCTGCACACTAACCGTACACAACTTCAACATCACGTTTACATGTTCTGAGGGCAATCATTTGAATACAAACTCAAAACTTAAGACTGATGGATCTTACATTGATCATAGCCATGATCCAGAAGGCATAGGAAACGTTGGTCACCACCTCTCCCTCGGTGTGAAGGTGGACACTGGACACGTTGTGCACATGTCTGCCTGCGAGCCTGTGCCTCAGATGAGTTAATGATGTTGCATTGACACTGCTGTTCCCAATCACACAGCTGGTGTCAGACAGGAAGGGGTCAGCGATGAGGGGACTCACTAACGCCCCCAGACCCACAAAGAAGTGAAGGGTCTGGAAGAGATCAGAGACAACCCGGATATCAGCTGTGATGTTCGTTTTCTGATACAAAATTCTCACAAAAGTTTTTAAAGCAACTTTATAAAACACAGTTCTAAAGTCTGATTGGATGCGTTTAAACGATGCTCACCAACGTGCCAATATTCAATAATGCTTGAAACAGTTCTGCTAATTAACCTAATGAAAAAATCATATATTATATTATTTATTGAACGTTGATGAGTTATCCAGTGTTATTTTAGTATTCATTATATTCTATTTATATTTCATTTATATTTTTATTGGCTTTTTATTTCAAGATTTCATTTTAATTTTTTATTCTTTAAATGTGATATTTTTTTCTTATGTATATATTTCCTCGTAATATTAATATTAATACTTATGTTTATTGTTTATTTTTTAATTTCTTTGCATTTTTACACACACACACAAAAAATCTGGTACAGGAACGTCACTCTGGTTTGCTTAAATACTTCTTATTGTTAAGCATTTTTTACTTTTTTTATATACTGAGGGTGTGCTTTCTTTTTTTTTACTTGAAACAGAATGTTGTACAGTTACATTTTTTACAGTACCAAATCTTTCAATTGACAATGAACTGGTTCTGTGAGCGCATACCCTATAAACCAAGTGACTCCCTTGACTGCTATTCTTTAATATTTATTTCCACAACTGCAACATCGCCTTGTCTTGACGTTAAAGTAGTGCATATTTACTTATTATGAATAACCATTTGAAGTATATTGTATGTTTAGCAAAAATAGACTGTATTTGACTGAAATAACAGAATCTAATCTAGATAACGGGGTAATGTTTATATGGTAGTCAGTGAATGTGGATGCTGAATATCCTTTTGACTTTAATAGGATTTTTCCGAATAAATGAGCAAGAATAAACCTGGTGTCCTCCAAGATTCCTGTTCTTTCTGACAACAAAGCACTTGAATGCGACGAGCTTGTAATCACAACTTCAGAAGTGGGAAGTAGGACATTTCCGATAGCACAGCATAAAAGGCATTTGCATTCCGTGTGTGTGAGGGATGAATGCCGATGAGAAAAACACATCAGCTCAAATGAAATTGAATCTACCGAATCAATGAATTCCTTAAATATAAAAACTGTAAAATGCTAAATTTATGAATTTATTGAGTGCATTCGTGAATATGTATATATATATATATATATATACATACACATACATACATACAAACTTTTATGTTAGATGTGATTAATCACAATTACACTAACATAATAATTTATAAAAAAATATTTTTTATTAAAAAATTATAAAAAAAAATTATAAAAAAAAAATTAAATAAATGTATATAAAAAAATTAATTTATAAAAAATTATAAATTATTAAACTATATAATAATAATAACTATACATTTTTTTTTTACTGTCAGGCAGCACAACTCTTTTCAACATCGATAATACATGTTTTTGAGAAGCAAATCATCATATTAGAGTGATTTCTGAAGGGTCATGTGACACTGAAGATTGGCGTATTGATGCTCGAAATTCAATCTTACATTTTTAAACTATATTAAAACAGTTATTTTATATTGTAATAATATTGACTGTTTTACTGTAGTTTTGATCAAACAGCCTAATACTTCTTTTAAATTTGTATTAAAAACATTAAATAAAATATGTTCAAGGTCTCAAGTTACCATGTTTATTTAATTTGAAAGAAAGGATTCAAATCCTGGCCTAATGTGTACCGTGATAGTATTTTTTTTAACAAACCAAGCAAACTTGCTTTCAGTGACCATCATGCTTTGGAAGAAGCATATCTGGCATTTTCATAAAAACTCCCATATTTACATCCTTTTGTAAACGTCGAACAGGTTTTTCAAGGGTGGGTAAATAACAACAGAATTTTTTGTTTAAAGCAAAGTATTGTGTACATTCTGTGTAAGGACGTCATTTAGACGTCAATAGAAGATTTCTGTCAGAGGTCACAGCACATCAGACGAAGATATTATTGTCTGACTGAATACACTGACCTGCAGAAAAACCGTGGAGTCTTTCTGGTAGATCTTGACCAGTTGTAGGTTCGATATGGTGTCAATGATGCCCATGGCAAGACCAGACACGGCCATGGCAAACGCCAACAGGAGCAGTTTATGGCATAGTGGGATGACAGCAAAAACCACAGAGATGAGGAGCGTGGACACAGCCAAAGCCGACAAAGAACTCGCAAGCCTGAGACAAATAAAGAAGACATTGTGTTTTAAACTTAAGGCAAAAGTAATAGGGTTGGGTGGCATGAAGAATACGCAAACGCATTTCTGTAGGGTTAAAACCTTTTTAAAGTGGAAAAACTGAGCATGTTTAGTTGTAACTGTGTTATATATAAAGTAAAGTTTCAAAAAGGTCTTGGCCCAATTGAGTTCTGTTTACATGCCTTATCAAAAGCTGCTTCTACTGATGATCCCAGTGGGTACGTGACACTATAGTTTACTTTCTTTGTTTCATGACACAAACTGTTTTACCACAACGTAAAAACAGGCAAAAGTAAACATGGAGATTGTTCTCTGTTTCAATACATTCAGGACTGTAAAATACGAGATAAAGATCAACCATACACAGATCCATAGAGATAAATTAATTTGACTATCTGTTATGAGGGAAAAAAAATAGAAAAGCTATTGCAACTACTCCAAATAAAAGCAATTAAAAAGGGCCAAATTATTACAGCCATGCTCGCTACTGTTCGCATGGTTTTACCCGTGAATATGTGGACAATGTCCATGGTACAGGCTTAGAACCGCAAGGTAAAACAAACTGTAAACAAATATAGAACGATGCCAAGGAAATATTTGCTAATATAGCTGTAAAACATACTCAGTTCCACTTTAAATGAGCAAATATTGTTCCAATTGTTCCATATTTTTGGAACACGTACAAAAATTTACTTTACAAAAGAATTTCTTTATCTATCAGGCAAAACAACAGCAGGCCAGCGTCTGTTTTTATGGCTCCAGTCCCAGATGACTGAGAAAGCAGGACTTTAATGAGCACATGACCACTACAGATCGAGGCCATGGACGGGTTAGAAACTGATCATCAGTCCCAAAGAAATATTGATATCTTAATACTGCCAACAACAGTTTACTATCATATTTACATATGGGTACGACACATTGAAATTCCTGAGAATCACAGGAGGAACTGTACAAGATACATGATAAACAAAACATCTGACATTACAAGTTTAACTTTCAAGACAACCATTTCAGAAATGTTTGAATCAAATAAGTCTAGGGAAAGTACAACATGTATATTGTATTTTTTTAAACAAACAAATCTTATGCAAAGCATATGCATTACCATTAGAGATACACAGTGTTGGGGAAAGTTCCTTTTAACAACAACAACAACAACAAAAATATATATTTTTGGCAAATGTAAATGCACTTTCAAACCAAAAGTGAAATCAATAAGTCTCTAAAAAATGCTTTTGTGGAATCAAGATTACAATACACTTAATTTCAGCCATAATAAAAACAATTTCCATCATAGGCTAACATTGTAAATAAATAAATAGATCTTTTTTCAGTTCCTCTTTATTTTGAGGACGCATGCTATAAATACTTTTCTAAACTGTAAAACAACATTTGTAAATAAAATACTATTTAAGGGAATTAAGGCAACCTTTTTTTCTATTCAGCAAGTATATTAATGGTTAAAAAGTATATGTTTATACTGGAAAGTGTATCTCTTTAGGGGTCACAATTTCTTTTTATTTCTTTTAATTTTATAAGTAGCCTTGCCTACATTTAGGTCATGAAGAATTGGGAGATTTAAAAGGTTTTAAAAATGTATTTAGTGCAGTTTGACATGTCGACCCATTCAAGAATGAAATAAAATATACTCTATTGCAAAAACAGCTGTTTTTCTTCCAAATACTCACGTTTTACTGAAGAAACCACCGATGGTGCTTCCAATAAAGAGGAAAAACTGTTGTGAGAAGAAGACCAGAGTGATCTCCTGTAGGGTGGACTGAGTCTGACATCTCAGGTCCAGAATGGTCGGACCCAGAAAAGCGACACAGAGCCCAAAACTGAAGAACACAATCCAGTATGTTAAAGTATGCTGCCAGTTACTGCGGAACAAAGCCCAGATTCGTTCATTAAGCAGATGTTTCATACTGGAGAAAGTTTCTGATGTGTTTCTTCAGCATTTACACAGCGCGATCACCCTAAAAGGGATGAGAAAACTTGTCCAAATCGAGAGTCGCGTGTTGTTCAGAGTGAACGCGGAGTGATGCTTAACCGAATCGTTGTTCAATCAAATAGGTTCTTTTGAAAGAACTGGTTAAACCGACTCCTTAGTGCGGACGCGTTGGTAAAATTATTACTATTTTTTTTTTTTTTTGCATCAAAACGTGTTACTGGTGTTTTAAATGTAGTTTTTTTTTACGTCAAATAAATTCCTTAGGAAATTATGCTACTGTGGAGCCTGCTTTAGTCGAACTGCTCCAATTAAAGCGAATCTATTAGCTAAACGATTCCATCGCTGTCAGGAGGAGATTAGTGCCCAAAATAACACTGTCGAGTGTCGACTAACAGTAACTCAAGCGAATCGATTCACTAAAACGAAATGATTCACTTAAAAGATTCAAACATCCAAAAATTTCAGTGCAACAGGTGTGTTTCCCAAAAGTTTGATCCTCCCACAGAATTCGTCACAAAACTAAAAGCCAAAATACACTTGAAGGTAAGTAATCACGCATGGTTGGCTGAGGCGACATCCATTTGAATCTTTTGTTTCATATTTTTTCACATCCAGTGTACCGAATGCTTCTGACTGGTCCGACGAGTTTTAAAAGCTTAGCACTATGTCTTTTGTAACAGCTACGAACACAAACCCACGCTAAATTATACACAGGTTTATCTGGCTTTCCTTGTGACATTAATCACTTATATGTTGTTTAGACCAAATCCTATTTTAAGTTTACTTTGTGAAGTGTACTAATGACAAACAGCACCATGCAAGACAATAAGACTATTGTTTGAGACGAGAGTAGAAACACTATCCCATAGTTCAACTCAACTTCATAATTTATTTAGTTATTATTTAATTACTGTTGGCATTTTTGCAGTCACAATACATTCAGCTTCAGAATATCATAATAGAATAGACAAATCACAGAAAATATTTAATATCACATTTCATACAAAAATCTAAATCTTTTATAAAACATTTAGACATCATCTAAGATCATTTAATACCGTAGTTTATTTTTTTCTTCACTGAGAATAAAGAAAACACTTGTCAAAATACATATATTTATATATTAATTCTTTTTGAATAGAGTATTTAAAATATTTTCATTTACCACAAAACACATAAATTAGTGCCACCGCTGTTGTGATGTTAAATAAATATTCATAAGTCATTATATTTTATAGAATTTTTTCCTTGTCAGTCATTTTCAATATTTCTGTTCCAGGGTAGCCTTTAAATGATCAAGTTTTTCATTTATGTCCATTAGAATGTGCTCAGTGCCATTTACAATAAAGAGTCATCATTAAAAAAAAACTACAAGATACAGTAGGAGAAGGTAAACAACATTAGGTTTCAATTCCAGGACACTTGTATGCCATGTGCAAAATGCGGAGTAGAAACTAGCTTAAATGGCAAAACTAATATCTGCATGTGCAATTACTTTAAAGAAGCTAGATCCTTAAGAAAATTGAAGTAGATGGTTTTTCGAATGGCTAAAATTGGACCCCATCATCTCTTACGGTCTGCAAAAGGCACCTTTTAATGATTTCGTAAATTTACTAAATATGGTTTAAGCGATTTTCTTTTGGAGTTCTCTTTTCTAGCCAATCGAAAACGGCCCGTTCACACCAAGAAAGATAACTATATTAGTGTCCACACTAGCTAGCAGACAATATTGTTCTGTTTATTCTATGGACACTGCAGTTTTGTCATCTGCCGTCTGCAGGGTGGATTCTGATTGGCTGTCAATGTTTTTATTGTTCATCTGCTGGAAAAAGCTATTCTGAAAGTGATCCCAATGATATTGTTTCTCCGTGCCGTTATAGTTGTGGTGTGAACTCTGCTATTCCGTTATTGTCCATTTTGCTTTCAAAACAGTTAAAATCGCTTACAGCACATTTAATAGCTGAAGTTCAATGGTATCATGACATAATTCAAGTAATTCTCTATTCAATGGTTCAAATATGTATGACAATTTGCATTTTTAATGTTTCAAAATCAACATCGCTAAATGTTATAGTACTGAATGAATGTTTGTGAAATAAATCGTAATATGTGCAGTGACTCATTAAACACATGTGGCAAAACAAGTCAAACCTCAAACTGAAATGAAGGAAATTTAAAGGAGTAGTTCACTTTAAAAAAAAAAAAAAACTTTTGCTGATAATTTACTCACCCTCATGTCATCCAAGATGTATATGTCATCCTTTCTTCAGTCGAAAAGAAATTAAGGTTTTTGGTGAAAACATTCCAGGATTTTTCTCCATATAATGGACTTCAATGGGAACCAAACAGTTCAAGGTCCAAAAGACAGTTTTAGTGCAAACTGTTCAAAGGGCTTTAAACGATTCAAAATGAACGAATCTTTTACCCAGTCAACTTGTTCTTTTCGTTCGTTGAATGAACCAAATGAGACGAAAAAAGATTCATTCATTTTGATAAACGAGTTCGAATAGGAGAGTCACGAACGGTCATCAGAGAACAGAGCAAGGTGACCATTTGAGCTTATAAAACTTAACCTTTTTTTTCAAATGAGCGATCGTTTCGCTTGATAAGACCCTTATTCATCGTCTGGAATCGTTTAAAGCCCGTTGAACAGTTTGCAGTTTGCACTGAAACTGTGTTTTGGACCTTGAACCATTTGGTTCCCATTGAAGTCCATTATATGGAGAAAAATCCTGGAATGTTTTCATCAAAAACCTTAATTTCTTTCCGACTGAAGAAAGAATGACATTTACATCTTGGATGACATGAGGGTGAGTAAATTAACTGCAAAAGTTTTTAGTTTTTTAAAAGTGAAATACTCCTTTAACTCAATGGGACAAGTATATATGAAGCTACCGTGTTGCACGCACACAAATGAAAATACTAAATCAACTAGAACTTTCAGGTGTTCAGATCTACGTCTCCAGAAAGAGAAGAATCTAGACACACTTTAAATGCCTTTCCATAGAGCATCCTCTGAGCTCAAGATCAGCATGGGTTTTAGGCTTGAAAGAGACTGCAAAAGAGATTCGATTGAGGCTTGGTTACACTTTTATCCATCTCATATTATGATTTTCTTCCATTCAGTCTGTTTTCTGAAGTTCAGACTGTAATAAATTGCTGTGTATATGAATGGATGTGTGCATGCATGTTTTGGATGCTGTTTCCTTCATAATGATTTTGTTCTGCCGATCACCACTTTGATTCTGTTCCTCAGAATATGCTTTGTCTGCGGTTCTTGCCTCGACCTGGATTTGGAGGAAAATGACCCAGTGTTAGAAAGATCTGCAGGAGTGCAGGTAAGCGTACGACTAAACATGATCAAGTTGCGCTCTGCAAATAGACATGAGTCATGTAAGCATTGGATTTGAATACCTGGTGGCTGGAATACCGAACTCCTTTGTCCCGGATCCTTCTGTAACTGGATCTCCCTCAGGGAAAACACGGATGAGGCTAGAGAGGATGGAAGACAAGCGGGTGATGATCAAAGCAAATGCGTTGTTGTTTTGCCAAGGTAAAAGACAGATTACAAGGCTTCTGTTGAGGTGATGTTATATAAGCAGACTCTCCAGAAAGGATGTAAATATTGGGATGAACTCACTGTCAGGTATGGAGTGGATGTTCTCGCCCAGCGTCAGGAAGTAAGAGTGTGTCAGAGACAACTCGGCTGATATTCTACTCCTGGTGTCGTACTGAAAGGGAACAAAACCAAAAAATAGGGGGAAAATGTAGAGTTATGGGTTCTTCATTCATTGGAAAACACACACATTTCATTAATGAATGAATTACATGTCATTTCATAACATGTCAATCTAATCTATAGTGATCATAATTAGCCATATATTATGATAATTTTATGATCTTATTTATTATACATTATAAATAAAATCATCTAAATTTAATGTTTTTTTAATATAACATTTCATATTTTAAGTAATTGACCATAATTAAGCATATATTATGATTATTTAATATATTTATAAATATACATACACATATAATGTATAAGTGTATATATATATATATATATATATAATGAAATTTATATTATATAAAATTTTAAATGTGTAAAATGTGTGTGTGTATATATATATTCATTCAATATATATATATATATATATTTATACACGCATATAAACAGTATATATATATATACACACACACTGTATATAGTTTTTATGTATAGACATTATTAGAATATATACATTTTACACATTTACATATTATAATATAAATTATAATAAATATTATAATAAACTAGGGCTGTCAAACGATTAATCGCGATTAATCGCATCCAAAATAAAAGTTTGTGTTTACATAATATATGTGGGTGCACTGTGTATAATTATTTTGTATATATATATATATATATATATATATATATATATACACACATGCATGTATATTTAAGAAAAAAATAGTATTTATATACAAGTTATTTATATTTATATATAATATAAATGTATACACATGGAAATATTTCTTAAATATATACAAGCATATGTATGTATTTAAATATATAAAATAATTATACACAGTGCACCTACATATATTATGTAAACACAAACTTTTATTTTGGATGCGATTAATCGCGATTAATCATTTGACAGCCCTATAATAAACATAAAAATACATTTCTTAATATGTTCAACATTTTTTTCAACTTAAGTTTGAATAATTGATTTTAGAAATAGATTTTGAAGTGTATTAGATGCACTAAAAATCCCTGAACTTGAATTTTGAACATGCGTAGCGTTTCTTTCAACATTTTCTGCTCTTGAGCTCAAGTTACAGTTCCTCTGATCTGAGCTCTTCACTAATGACTCGATCTGAGCACAACTCCCCTGACTTGTTGATCCCCGAGCTATGAAGTACTTTTAAATAATGAAGCACCCATCATCCTGCTGTCATCTCACACAAAGTTATAAAATTGTCTCCAGCGAAGTTTGCCGTTGTTTAAAGTGAGCAGAGCGTTCAGAGCGCATTGTGTGAGTCTGACAGTGCGATCAGTCAGCGGGGTTTGATGAGAAACAGGTGCACGGTTCGGACTCATTAAGGCCCCTGTCACCATTAACGAATCGCGCGCTCCGTGGTCTTTCATCATAATGACAGGTCAGTGTGCACTCAAGCTGCGTGTGCCATCAGAACGCACAGAGAAAGAGAGAAACGCATTCACGTTTCTTTATGAATGCAGCATATTCTTCTGAAATACATACGCTCACTAGAGGACCTCCCATTCAGTCTATTGTTGTCTTACTAATCACAACTATTACAGTCTAACACTACTTCGTTTTTATGCTTACAAATAGTACTATGGGATTACTATCTGAGACCATCAGGGTACATTGTATTGATCAGAATCAGAAAGAGCTTTACACACACACAAGAAATAAAAGTCTTGGTGCAGTTTGTAGGTGCAGATCCACTATTAAGCACATTTATAAAACCTTTTTTAACACACATTTATGTAGCTTTCACACACTGATGACTTTACAGTATATTGATTTTACCCCCGTTTTCACAGACATATAAGCAACTTCCACTGACTCGTTGTTTTGTCTCAAGATGCACACTAATGTTTTGTTTTTCTTTTCTTTCTAAGGAAGCTACTTAAATGTCCTGTATTTAAAGGGATAGTTCACTTTGAAATTAATTTTTGGTGTGTTTTAGCTTACCTCAAGGTCATCCAAGATGTATGTGTCTTTGTTTTCACAGTATTTTCAATTTTAATATTTTTAGGTCAAACCGTTCATGTCTATCAGTCATATAATGGAGGTCTATGGTCACCACCTCAAAGAGCATGCACAGAGAAGTCCGAATCAAACATGATTTAATGACTCGTAATAAAAGATCTAAACATATTTAGATATACAGGAAATTGCAATGGAAGACGATTTTGATATATCAACAGACAACGCTGATTTCCGGCGCTTGCTCGGACCGAAGTGCCCTCGCCCTCAGATCACTTGGGCGTGGCTGTGGTTACAAGAGGTAAAACCGATATAAATACTGTTCGTTTTCTCACACAAACCGCTCGTTTGGTGTCTTAGGCCATCAATGTGTACTTACATTTACGAGTTATTAAATCATGTTTAATTTGGACTTCTCTGTGCATGCTCTTTGAGGTGGTGACCATAGACCTCCATTATATGACTGATAGACATGAACGGTTTGACCTAAAAATATCAAAATTGAAACTACTGCGGAAACATCTTGGATGCCCTTGAGGTAAGCTAAAACATACCAAAAATTCGTAAATTAAGCTATATCTTTAGCTGCTTTATGCTGGCTTTCCTCCATTACCAACTAAAAAGTGGCCAAAACCCTTCTAAAACCAGCAAAAAGACACTCCTAAACACACTTAATATGTTTTTTTTAACAGTGTAGACAAATCGTATTCCAAATCCTAAACCTAAAATACAACTTTTCTTTTTTCGGCGTGTATAAAGAAAATATTTAGTCACTCTGTAAACTCCGTTTCCCCAAAATACATGTTTTCAGAGCCTTTTTTGTCCCCAAAATTATTGTAGGTCATCACCAATATGCATATGCAACATACATGTGTGAACTACAGCCAAAACACTGAGATCAGCATCGAGTCTTTAGCCCGTCTGTGCACCCCTCTGTGCTCATTCGTTCCCCCAACATAATCTTGAACAGTATTGCTGTGAAAGGTCCTTGCTCTTGCCTGTACCTGAGCGAAGCGACGAGGTGTCAGCCTGCGTTTGTTTACCTGTGTTTTGATAACACTATAATGCTCCGCGCCTGACACCCCTGCCCGTATCAAACTAATTGGACCTGGAGGAGAGCAGGCAGAGAGGGATGTTGACACCATAATTATCTTCTGAGCTCACTCCGTCTCGACAGCCAAACTCTTAACAAGGGCTTTTTTTTCACCCGGGGATTCGTGGGAGCTGAACACAGTTGCAGGTCCACGGCATTAAACATCACCTCACTGGCCTGTGCACATGTGCTGTGTGCTTGTTAGAAGTCTCACACACATACGTCTGCTTTCATGCTAGAACTTAACCAGTGTTCGTTTTTTTTTTTTGTCTGATAACGTTTTTAAATTATTATAATTTTAAACTAATTACATTGGTTTAAATGATTTGTAGGTTTACAGATAATTTATTATTGATTAGTAGTAGTTTTAAAAAAAAATCAATTTCTCAGTTTTAATAATGCATTATGATTGGACTATTAGAATTTTTGCTTTTTAAAAATAAATTAAAATTTATAATAATCATTCTGATTGCAAAACAGTACTAATTTAATTGATTAGTTGTTGATTTTTTAATTAAATTTTTTTATAATTATTAGATTTTTGACACAATAATACATAATTAATAGGCTTTTAAAATATTATTGGGCTGTGTTGTTTTGCAAAAGTATTGTTAATAATAATAAATATTAGGTAAGGCTTTACAATAAGGTTTCATTAGTTAACAATAAAGGAGTAGTTAACTTTTGCTGATAATTTACTCACCCCCATGTCATCCAAGATGTCCATGTCTTTCTTTCTTCAGTCGAAAAAAAAAATTAAGGTTTCAATGGGGTCCAAACGGTTCAAGGTCCAAATAAGAGTTTCATTGCAGCTTCAAAGGGCTTTAAACGACACCAGACTTGAATGATTCTTTTTTTCGAGTAATTTGGTTAATTCAACGAACGAAATGACTCGAAAAAAGATTCGTTCATTTAAATTATCGAGTTCGAACAGGAGAGTCACGAACGTGCATCACAGAACAGAGTAAGGCGAGCATTTGTGCTTATAAAACAAACTTTGTTATTTAGTTTTGAAATGGCCGCTCATTTCACTAGATAAGACCCTTATTCATCGTCTGGTGTCGTTTAAAGCCCTTTGAAGCTGCACTGAAACTCTCATTTGGACCTTGAACCGTTTGGTTCCCATTGAAGTCCATTATATGGAGAAAAATACTGGAATGTTTTCATCAAAAACCTTAATTTCTTTTCGACTGAAAAAAGAAAGACATGGACATCTTGGATGACATGGGGGTGAGTAAATTATCAGCAAAAGTTTTTTTTAAAGTGAACTTCTCCTTTAACTCGAGTTAACATGAACTAAGAATCAACAATACTTCTACAGCATTTACTAATCTTAGATGATGTTAATTTCAACTTTTGCTAAGACAAAACGTTTTATTTGTTAACAAATTGTCACATTTATCAGTATGACATGATATTTACCAATAAAAAGTGTAAATATGAATGTCTACTAATGTTCAAGCATGGTTGCACCTGTTTTTACAGGTAAATACCGAGCGTTATTGTTATCATCTGTTGAGAATCACAATTCTTGGACAGCAGTGTTTTTGTTACTTTATCAGATGTATCTGTAGTGATTTCCTTACACATTTCTATAAAAATAAGCTGTAATGTTCCTGTTTTGTCAGCAATACTGCTATGTCGCCATATATCATCTTCCAGGGACCTCTTTAATGAGGGCATTTGGAAACCTTACCACTGCTGACTGAAATCTTTGTGGTTTTAGACTATTGTGTTAAGGCAAGGGTGTTGTTTGGCATCTGACATAAACTGGTAAATCCTCATTGCTTAAATCCATCATCTCATATTGCAAAGCTCCTCGACATTTCAAAGGAAAGCCGTTTACACTCACGTGAAATCTGCTGTTTCAGTAAAGACGCACTCTATGCAAATACATAAAAGATATGCAAGGCATTTTTTGATGTTTATTGCTAGTTACCTATCTTGTTTAACTGTAACTCTATTGAGTGTGTTTGAACCCACGCACTTGTGACACATTGGCCAAGCCTTCACATTTGTGTTTGCATACTTGCATAACAGTAGCTCAAATCAGAATAATATTAATTCAGATTCACACAATTCAACACCATAAGATGAATCCACTCACCATCAATAGAGCCGAAAGTAGGTCTATCCCCTCCGTGTCGAGCCTTGAAATGAAAAAAGTTGCTTGTATATTACAATATTCACCATAATTCATAGCATGCAAAACATACTGTCCTCTCTTGTTTTTATAGATACAGGTGTGTGTTTTTGTTTTATGTATTTAAAGGAGCCAGAAGCCATTTGTGTCAGTGTGCTGTGTTTCTGTGGTACCTGGGCACATGATTAATGAGCGCTTGTGCTCGGTACTGAGGAAACAGGTAGGATTTGAATTCCTCATTAGCTGTGATTCCGGGCCAGGTTTCCTCCGTTGGGGTGCCTGGTTATGGAAAAAAGGTCGTTTTTTTTAGTATGTGTCCTACAGTGAGATAATTAGACCTCTATTATGCTTCAGACGTGCACCTATGGACCACCCGCCGTCTGATCACTGACCGCCTGATGCATACTGCATAAAAAAATTACTGATAATTTGTTCATCTGGCAAGCTATGATCTGGTTGGCTGGAATCAAAGTGCAACTTTGTCATGTTTACAAGATTGCTGGAACGATTGCTTTTTAAGAACATGTAATAACTGAAAAAGACCAGGCTTGCCAGTGAGTCACTTAGTAGTAAGTAAAGTTATTTTTGTGAAAAGTACTCATGGATACACTAGGTAATTATTTTAAATTTTTTAGAGATTCACATAAAACCAAATTCTGTGCAATTAGCACAAATTACCAGTTTTATGCTTGATAACTTTTTCTTTGTATGCCAATAGTCAAACGTCTGGCAGGCTACGTTAGAGTAGTGAAGTAAATCTTGTGTTAATTAAGTACAGTACTTTTCCAAAGTTGTTTTTGTTTTTTATTCACCAATTAAGGACACAATAAATGAATCAAAACAAAAGTAACTTTCACTTTCAAAGCGTCATATTAGAATGATTTCTGAAGGATCATGTGACACCGAAGACACTGAAGGGTAATTCTGCTGAAAATTTAGCTTTGCATCGCAGGAATAAATGACATTTCACAATATATTCAAATAGAACACAAAACAGTTTTAAAATTGTAGTAATATTTTGCAGTATTACTATTCTTACTATATTTTTGATCAAATAAATACAGCATAGGAGACTTCAAAAACACCTTACCCATGGTAGTGTATAATTATTTCAAATAGACAGATAAATAATTTTGCCAAATTTAAAACCGCCTTATGATATTATCTAGATATGGCTATATAATAGCGATGCACTATATATCGGTATCGACCAATATATGTTATATTTTAATGTTATCAGCCCAATAAGAACATTTGGCCAATAAATAATGTATTGTTTCCTTCAGAGTAGACACTTCAGATGTGCACTGGTCACCATGATGCTTTTGAATTGCTTGAAATATGATTGCAATCACTTCAAAAAGGAAAATACAGTGAAGTGCAATGTCTGTCATAAAGGCTTCATAATATTATAATGATAAAATCATTATAATTGTGTGCTTTTAATGGTGAGACTTTTGTTTTATTAATTAGGCTCTCAAATTTTGATTTATCAGCCAATATATCGGTTATCCGCTTTTAAATTTAAAGAATTATCGGATATCGTATCGGCCAAAATTTTCAAATCGGTGCATCCCTACTATATAATTTCTATTAACAACCAACATGAAGCATTTTAAGTGTCATAAATGACCAATAAATGCCACCTTTTGGTGTTAATTTATAATTAAAATGACATGAAACGCCTCTCTTACCCATGAGCCGAAAAATCAGGTGTAGTTCCTCTTTGACAGTCGACCCAGGAAACATGGGACGCCCCGTCGACATTTCGTACATGATGCAGCCCACGCCCCTAAAGTCATACAGAGACGTCCATCATTGTGATCATAAAATCTCTCTTAATTTCAGTGCTGTTATTCTATACGTCAAATCTTTTAAATGAACCCTGCAGACATCATTTGAATATATCAGATCAGGACTGTCAGAGATGTTTTATCGGAGAATATTCTCCTATCACAGCTTGACGTCTGCTTGACTGGAGGGTTGTCTCGGGAAAGCTGTGAGGTGGAGATACGGGAGAGACACATGTGTCTGCTGTCACGCTCGGATTGATTAGCCCACTGGACTAATCCTTAGGATTAAACAACACGGGATTTTTTTTTATCGAACAGGACGGCTTAGCTTTAAAAAAGCATTTGTGTCCGAGTCCGTGCCAGCTATCCAAGGTTGCCCGAGGAGCGGGTGTCAGAGTGCGTATGTGATGTTAAAAGGTTGTGTCAGGAAAGACAGAATTCAATTTTCAAACTTAATGTTTCTTCTGGAGGACTGAGCAACAGTCAAGAGCTCTTTGACATGATCAAAAGGTAGTTTGATGTATTATTTCATAAAGTTCACACATGGGATTTCCAAAAAAAAAAAAAAAAAAAACTGGTTATATGAACCCATTAATTTAGTTCTTTTGACATGAGTTGATGAATAAATGAAATAGACTGAAGTTGAATGTGTTCGAGTGCTGAAAAAGCAAAAAAGTTCTATTGATGGCCATAACAATCCATCTAAAACACTTTATAATAATAGTAGTGCTTTCAAATCAATTATTCGCATCTAGCATAAGTGTGTATGTGCATATCTATCTATCTATCTATCTATCTATCTATCTATCTATCTATCTATCTATCTATCTATCTATCTATCTATCTATCTATCTATCTATCTATCTATCCATCTATCCATCTATCCATCTATCCATCTATCCATCTATCTATCTATCTATCTATCTATCTATCCATCTATCTATCTATCTATCTATCCTTCTTTCTTTCTATCTATTCATCATTTTATCTATCTATCTATCTATCTATCTATCTATCTATCTATCTATCTATCTATCTATCTATCTATCTATCTATCTATCTATCTATCTATCTATCTATCTATCTATCTATCTATCTATCTATCTATCTATCTATCTATCTATCCATCTATCTATCTATCCTTCTTTCTTTCTATCTATTCATCATTTTATCTATCTATCTATCCATCTATCCATCTATCTATCTATCCTTCTTTCTTTCTATCTATTCATCATTTTATCTATCTATCTATCTATCTATCTATCTATCTATCTATCTATCTATCTGTCTGTCTGTCTGTCTGTCTGTCTGTCTGTCTGTCTGTCTGTCTGTCTGTCTGTCTGTCTGTCTGTCTGTCTGTCTGTCTGTCTGTCTGTCTGTCTGTCTATCTATCTATCTATCTATCTATCTATCTATCTATCTATCTATCTATCTATCTATCTATCTATCTATGTGTGTATGTATATATATACACACACACACACACACACACGTTACATTTACTAACTTATGTCAGATGTGATAACACTAAATACTAGTTTTATCATATTCATATTCACCACTTTTATACATTTTAGTCCTATTTTTAAGAGTTATGTATTTTAATTGCATATAAAATTTCCATCCATTTGGATTGCAGATTTATGCTACTTCTAAGGAATTTGAGAAAAATACATTAATAAAATGTTGAAATAAAATCAAATAGATGCAAATACTTGACAAACAATGCCATGCTTTATTTGTAATATACCAGATAGTTTAACTAATTCAACAAATTTCTAAATCGGTACTTTGGTCTTTGCAAATGGTTAAATTTGCTGAAGAAAATTTGCTAATTTTTGTGTGTGCTTGCTGACTAAGTCAAAAGAGTCCGCCCTCCAGTATATATGATATTCTGTTCTCTAGATATAACTTATTTTATTCGTAGGAGTTATATGCTTCTATGAGCATTGTGTTTTAACAGTATTAATAGTTTTGCTTTATGCTTTCATAATGTTAGCAGCACATACAGTAGTGGCTGATGCCATACTGTACTGTTATGCAGGGTTGTGTTCAATGTGTTGATGTGAGAAATGTCTTACCACATGTCTATCGGTGTGGAATACTCTGTAGAGCCCAGGAGAACATCAGGGGGTCGATACCACAAGGTCACAACCTCGTTCGAATAGGTTTTTGTTGGGACTGATTTCGCTCTGGCCAAACCTTAACAAGCAAGATAAGACGGATAGTTAAAGTAATGAACAAACGTTGCTGGGAAACCCAGAATCCCAGCCAAGAGCCAATATGGGAGTCACATGGGAGACCGCTGCTGGGTAATGTGCTAAAAAACAAAAAACAATCTAGATATTCTTTGTATAGCACACCAAAGTAAATGCATCTATGAATATTTAGGTCTTGTAAGAAAGTCTCACCAAAGTCTGCCAGTTTGAGTTCTCCCTTTTCATTAATGAGCAGATTCTGAGGCTTCAGGTCCCGGTGGAGAATCTTTCTATGATGACAATATGATAAACCACGAAGAAGCTGGAACATAAATATCTACAAGGACAGAAAGGCGGATGTTAGCGCTTCTAAAACTTGAACCACCAACAAAGACTGCATTTTACTGCATCCAAAATGTGGCAGCTGCCTTCTTTTTAAGGCGACATAACATGCATCAACTGCAAATAACACAATCCCAGAATACATTGCAGAATTTTTTAGATGTCGAGAGAAAATTCAACTATTTTTTTAATTCAATACTGTCAAGTATAGATGAAGTGAGTATAAAGACTTTTATTTTGTTTGTTTTTATCCAGGCACATCTTGATAAAGTGACCTGCAAAAAGCTATTAGCTATCAAATTAGGTACGTTTATTGTTGCTGTAAGTGTAGTTTTTAATCATTTATAATTTTTTCAGTTTAAATTGTCCATTATCATAAAACATATGGGCCATTTCCAAATCATTAGATGCCGTTAATCAGTGTTTGAAATGTCACCTAGAGATCTATACTTCATTTATATTTAATTTTCTTTAATAAATTGACTTATTAGTCTTTTAAACAAACTAATTAGTCAATTATGGGTTTCCAATGCTCTAATTTCCATCAAAGTCTTCCTTATAAAAAAAGAAAAAGTCCCAAAAGAGATCTTGTTAACATCGCTGTTGTTTCTCTGGGTCTGTTTGGTAGGCCCCGCCCAGTGAAATCTCATTGGTGCAAAATCCTGCTACATTTAAATATATCTTCTGATTGGCTGTGATCATGTTGTCGAGCAGTGTTTTGCTCATAATCGATTGACAAATTGCGCGTTGTTGTTATCTTAGCAACTTGTTAACATGTCAGACTGTCAGAATCAATTGCGAGGCACGTCTCTCTTGTGGTATTTTGCTGTCTATGTAAACCGCTCTATTGACTTTTAATTGGTAAGCTTGTTGATTGTTTTTCGATGGTCTGAGAGCTGTTACCTTCACGTTGTGCATGCTCATGAGGTTTCCACAGTTGTCGAGGTACTGCTTCAAGTCACTGTCCTGCAAAGACAGTAGGTTAGGATGTCAAAATGGCCTGTTATTGCTTTCTTACCTTGCAGGGAAATACTTCAAGAACCACCCATATCACAAAACATGGGGTAAGAGCTTGCCCTGCTATTGTCGTCGACATTGAAAAGAAAAGTTGTGCGACGTGGCTTACCAGATACTCAAAGACAAGGGTGAGACATCGGTCTGTATGGATGATGTCATGGAGTGTTACGATGTTGGCGTGTTTCAGATTCTTCAGCAGTGACACTATTGCAACACAACAAGAATATGACAATAAGCCGCTACAACAATAACCTCCAGCAGGGCGTGCAACATTCAGAAATAATTGAAATGCTAATCCAGGTCCTGAATTTAAATCAAGCCAAGCAGGATGCAGAATTCTTATTCAAATAAGAAAGATGAAAACTGTTACTTTTTAATAATTCATACCGAAAAATAAACTGTCTTTTAACATCCAAAATATTTGGGATATATATATATTATACACTCTAAACAACGCTGGGTTGTTTTAACCCAAATTTGGGTAAAATATGGACAAACCCAAATGTTGGGTTAAAAATGTAATTTTTAAATTTTAACCCAACTTAACTGTAACTTTTTTATTGCATTTTTAACCCAACAATTGGGTTTGTCCACATTTGACCCAAATTTGGTTTGAAACAACCCAGCATTTTTTAGAGTGTATATGTATATACACACACAAATCATTAATTCAACTAAATTACTTAGAACTAAAAAACGACATATATTTGATATCTATATATCTTAATATTTAATATAATTGATGTATTTGTTATTTTACTTGACAAATGAGTGGCTTTATGGATTTGAAATCCCCTATTTTGAATGCAATGAAAAACAAAGATTAAAGTGAGAATGGTGGTGCTGCTCATCAGAACAAGGAGCTGTAATCTTAAATCTGAAACAAAGAATGAAGTCCCAGAGCTATAAAAAAATTGGGTTTTGAATTTGCCAAACCCTGACCTCCAGTGACATGTTTTGTAATGCAATGCATCATCATGGGCCTGAGTGTGTGTTCCCTCTAGCGTGAGCTGCATTAGATGTGTGTGTAGCAGCCACTGGGTGGCAGCCTTGCTTTGTATCCTCATCTTCCATTAGCAACCCCGCTCACGTACTCCAACTCATTTAGATGGAGTGATTCAGGCTGGGTGAAGAAGACGCCTGTGGCTCGCTAGTTTAGAATGTATACTCTTCGTGACAATCTAGATTTTGAACAACTGTGAGAGAGGACGACGTTACCTTCCCGTATTGCTGTGCACGGGGCGCCCTCTTCGTGCTCAAGACGAATCTCTTTCAGAGCCACCAGGTTTTCTGTTAGTTTGCTGCGACCCTTGAATACCGTCGCGTATGTGCCCTGTGTGACAGACAGGAAGATAAAAATATGTCAATCTTCTGGAAACGGGTGCAGAATGCATCAGTGGTTCGAAACCGCATCCACCAAAAACACCAACATAAATTAACTTTAGAAATGTCCTTGAAAGCAAACATTATAATGCATTATTATTACCATAAACTGCATATGACCAATAACATTTGTGTTCTCAATATCGATGTGCTAACATATTAGAGGATTGACTGGATACATGATCACTGATGTCAACAACAACATACTCTATATTATATACCGGTATAGTAGTTGCATTGCTTTTTTGCATTCAACATTGTTTTTATTTGTGGTCTTTGAATCCATATCTGCAATCTATTGGATCTCGACAGTCGAGACTGTAGGCATGTTGATCTAGTTTGGTTAGAGACTATTTGCTTAGTTTTATTGAAACCGGTGCATTTTATTTAAGGATTCTCTGAATAGACAGAAAAACAGCATTTATTGGAATATAAATCTTTTGTAACATTATAGATGTTTATACTGTCACTTTTGCTTAATTTAATGCATCCTTGCTGAAAAAAGTATTCATTTCGTTCAAAAAAACTGCCCCCAAATTATTAATGGTAATGTTTCAAAACCTTACTTAGGGTAGATCTCATCATTTACATTGGAAGACTTAATAATAATCCTTGTGTCTGTTCAATGACGTGCTACGATAAGGATTTTTAAATATGATATTACAGATATTTCACTCACAAAGAGCAATTTGTAGCTGATGGAATATGTCAGAGCTGAGTATAACTAGATAAAAACCACATCACATGAGTTTTCACATGAAAACACCCTTTAGATGCTAATGAAAAAGTTTAGAACTTGCTGATACAAAGATGCTTTACCTATTGAAGAGAATTCATTGCAGTCTGTGTTCAGTATTTTCCAGGTTTTTCCTCACATATGTAATTCCTCAGGGTTGTGTGTAGTACATTATTTCTCACAATTTGCAATGAGCATGCTTTGTTGCACTTAATGGAAAATTGACGGGCTAGTCGCGGTACAGCTTTAAGCATATTAGAGACTGATGTCTCTTCATGGCAAAAAAAAAAAAGTCCATTAAATCAGAATCCACAATTCAACAAGACTCATATTCACTGTAATCGCCTCGAGGGAATCTCGTAATGAACACATTTGATTCTTCTTGCTGTTTTACATTCTTCATTTTTGCCTATAGAAAACATCTTACCTCTCCTAGTTTGCCCAACTTCACGTAGGTCTCCAATTTCCCAAAGCCAATGTCCGACTGCAAAACAATTGAATACTGTGTTACCAAAAAGTTAGTTGCAAACATTTATGAATTGTTCGGGAGCCATATCTTGGAATCAATCTTGTGGACACATGCAATTGAAGAGCTAGAACTGTAAATGTGTGCGCTTATTAGGAATGCTGGGATTGTTTAATGTGGAGTGGAGCGAGCAAGGGCTTCTGTTATGGTTTGTTTACGGTAATGTTTGCTTTAGCGGTTCTTTAGCTATGCTGTAAATGCGCCTTATGTTGTGTTATAAATCACATTTTGTAAATCTGCATTTTTTTTAGCTGAGAGGCATGTCAAGGATATAAATGTTGACAGATAAAGTGATCAAGCCTGGTGAGTTTTATTTGTATAGCACTTTTCACAGTATAAAGTAGGGATGCACCGATACCGATACCGGTATCTGGTATCGGCCTCGATACCACATTTTCTAAAGTACTCGTACTCGTTGAAAGTCCCCCGATACCGGGGACCGATACCATGTTCTGAGAAATGGGTTAATCACAGGCGCCGAGTGCCCACCCCCAGGCTCCGGCTGCAGCTCAGAGCGGGGAGATGGGGAGACATGTCAGCCGTGTGGAACAGTGATGCGCGGGTCAATGTATAAACAACCCGCACACTACCAACGTTTTCAACTACCCGCCCGCTACTCGGACCGCAAAAAAAGTAAGAAAATATTGTACCTGACCCTCTTCCTGACCGTATTTTTTAAAAGTAGTAGCGCTACATGCTCATCGTAGCGTCATTGGGCCATAACGTGTAACAACAGAGCATCGCAAGAAGACGTAGCCTACATATAACAAAGGCAGCACTTTGGTCATCATCTTTCATTATTTCGGTAAATGTCTCCCACACTTACTCTTTTTATTTGTGTATTTGCGGAGCTTCCACTCCCCAGTCTTCACCTTTTCTCTTGCCGCCTCCATCTCTCTGCAGACTAGTGATCATAGACATGGCCGGTTCGTGAACGAATCGGTTCTTTTTAATGAACCGGTTAAACCAGTACGCTAAATCGAACTGAATCATTCGCATCAGTTCACGTCTTGCGTCAGTGCTGATCCACAAGTGAAGTTACTACAGTTACTCACTTTCAGACATGCCTGACAGTCCCTCCGAGTTGAAATAAACCAATATCCCGAATTATATTTTACTCCAGTAACTCTAACAGTTCACTGAACTGAGACATGTTGTTGATACTGATACTGCGCATCCGCGTATAGTAACGAACGCAGAGGTACAGCGGTTCTCGGATCACACCAGTACAGAACTGAGAACTGTTTAGACTGAGCTTGTGTGTCATCTTCGTGCCAGTTATTCAGCCAATAAATAAATTCGGCCTATATATTTCATAGAAAATTCTATCTAGTACTATATAAATACAAAGGTTTAATTGGCATTTTTTTCCAAACGACCTGACCGACCGCGACCCGAATATCATTAAAAATATTTTTGGATGACCCGTAACTGCGGGTGACCGCGGCGCAGGCACCCGCTCATTTTGGATCAACCCGTGCACCACTGGTGTGGAACAATTTCGTGAATGGCTTTGGATTAGGAGAATAAGTTTACTTGTAGTCGCCAAGTTACTTATAGTCAGTTGAATGTCTGTTGGGGGACCAAATAAATAAAGTGTTATCAGATATTTAGCTGATTGTACTAATACTCTAGTCTACTAATAGCCTACTCTAATGACAGTTAGTTGACATGTAATTGAAAAGTTACTTATAGTTAGTAAAGTGGACTATCGAAATAAAGTGTTACCCAAGTAATTTAATCAAGGACCTAAAAACCCGTATATAAAAATATTTCAATCATGTTTTTTTTGTTTTTTTATTAAGTACTTGGTATCGGTATCGGCGAGTACTAAAATGCAAGTACTCGTACTCGTACTCGTTTTCCAAAAAAGTGGTATCGGTGCATCCCTAGTATAAAGTGCCACAGTGAGGTTCTGGATGTAGATGGATCTTTCTTTTCAGGACTCATTAAGATATAATGTGATCATTAGGGATGTAACAATGTATTGTGTCGCGATATATATCGCAATACAAAAATGCAACAATATGTATCATGGATAGTAGCAAAATGTACTGTGGAAGTGTCGGTATTATATAAACTACTATATATAATGTTGAATATAATGTATAATAATGCAATTGGTGTGTGAATATGTATGGTTCCTGGTAATGCCAAATGTCTTATGTTACCAGTAAAAAGTGGCCTACATTATTTTAAACGTATCAGTGACTGAGCATATTCGTCTAAAATATTTCTGTATTTTCAGCTTCAGAATCATGAATATTTTTCGTTACTATATTCTATGTACTACTATATTATATTCATTACACCCCTAGTGATCATACATGACATCAACCTAATTTTTACATGCTGCAATGCATTCTGGGATTGCAATATCTGCAAAAATACAGTTGCTGGAGACACTCTTTAGTGTCTGTGATGCCAAAGGAATGTTGTCTATAGTAAGGAAACTCTCATGGTTTTGGAATGTAAATAGACAGGTTTACTTGGCTACAGTAGCTATTTTATTCTAATAACATCTTTATATTCTATTTTAAATGAAAAAAGTTGCATTGCATCTGTAGTGTTGTGTTAGTCTAACGCATTATCATCCTAGGGCGTCATATAGTGACGCTTTTGACGTTTCGTCTAAATCCAACGCACATGGCACCATTTAGTGTCAATTTAACACGCACAGAGCTTTGTTCGGTTATGGGTAGGTTTAGGTGTGGAGAAGGGTTAGGGTTACACCACTAGGGGGGCACCTTCTGGCCCAAAGATATCTACTAGGGCTGTCAGTTAAACGCGTTATTAACGGCGTTAGCGCAAACCCATTTTAACGGCGTCATTTTTTTTATTGCGCGATTAACGGCCTTTTTGGCCTAGCAAACTTTGTAGTTTTTTTTTCACTTGCTGTGCTATGTATGAAACCCATTCATTTCAATGGCTTGCGCCGCACGAAGATCTAGGTGGCTAGACCAGAAACAAAACAACAGGCATGCCGCACACACTCGTTTGCGATCAAATTGGTATATCGAATTGATTTGAGACATTTTAAGGTGTTTCCATTTCTTTTTCGCACTGAATCGAACAACATTCAAGCAAACTTTTGTAAACAAAGTTTTGTTAGACAAAACGGATCGCGCCATCTACCAACAAATGATCAATATTTCACAAGTTGAAGCCTAATAATGTTTATGTGCCAGCTGATAGCGACAGATATGAATGGGATAATGTATGTGAGGCGGTTGTTGAAGGGGTTGTATTCGCTATAACAACCGCCTCGCTATATATTATTACACACATTCTACATTAGAACTCAACCAAGCCACGTAAAAACAAGCAAAACTAACCTAAGAAAACAACGACGCTATAAACATTGCTATGATGATGCCGATGCACGTATGCCCGACGACAGTGGAGGTGTGGGAACGACAGCGCTCCATCACTTCTGGGAGATCGTGGTTCACGGAAACCCTTTGGTTGAAGCATCTTTTTGCTTTGTCCACTTACATCTGTCTTTGTTGACATCTGCCATGTGTGCGCAAACAGACTGGCCGGAAATGAACTCGTCTTCTTCTGGCGTGTTGCAACCATAAAAGGGCCTAAAACTTAATCGCAAATTCATTATTTATTTGGCAAATAACGTTTCAGTCAGCTTTTATCGCATTAGCCGTATATCGATCAAGATAAAATCCGATGAGACCGAACGCATTTCATTTGAGTCGATTTTCATGAAATTTCATCAAATAAGGCATTTTTCATTCGATATCACTTAATTTGGATAAAAACGTGTCTGGAAACATGGCTAGTGTTACATTGTGTGAGAGATTATTTGCTCCAATTGTGAATGTTAGTGTCAAATTGAACACCGTATATGCCAATGTTGTTTTCAAAAAAAAAAAAAAAACAACAACAACATTTGCACAAAGCAAGCCGATACAGTTTTCCATGTTGATAAGAGCAGTAAAATGAGAAAAAAATAATGGGACAAAAAGAAATCAAGTGACATTTAGAACGAGTTAACTATGACATTAATGCGATTAATCATGATTTAAATATTTTAATCGTTTGACAGGACTAATATCTACGTCTCATTTTGACGCTAAAGGGTGCGTTGGATGTAGACGAAATGTCAAAAGTGTCAGTATATGACGCCTTGGGATGAGACCGGGCTGGTGTGTAGATATTAGCATTAACTTAGACTATGATGTACCCTATTTCTGTGTGAGTTTAGTTTGGTTACTAACCAGTGAGGCTCTTCTGGACATGCGACTGAGAGGTTTGCATGGTGGAGTGCTTTCCATCTGTAACTTCTTCAGAAACTCCGGTGGGAGACGAATATCCATGGGCAGAGACATCCTCTTGGTTACATCCTGCACACACATCAAAGAGCTGTCAGCTATTAGCGTTCAGCATACACACATATGAAGCACAGAGAGTCAAGGTGAATCTGACAGCTTTCTCCACTGTGCAACACAACTCTACGCCTATAGGCAGAGCTGACTATTCTTACCAAGGCGAACTTGGCATGACAATGAGAACCTGTCACTTGTGAAGACTCACACTCAATAAAGGATTCTGGCTTAATCCCAATACGGCGAGGCTAGGTTGGACAACATTTTGTATCGTGCAATGAACTGAAGTATCTCCAACAATCTTTTCGCATTTAAGAAGCTCTGATGGAGTTAGGCCGTTACTCGGTTAGGCGAGGCCCAGAAATAGCACGGGAATCTTATGTGCTCTGAAAAATGAGAGCATTCCCACATGTGAATCCTCCTGCTCTGCCTTGTGGCTGCGTTTGTACGGTCGTGCAATAAAACCAGCGAGTGATTCTCAATAAAACCAGGGAATAAAAAGTCCTCCCTTTCTCCTCGGCTCTCTCCCGTCATGCCCGTGGGAATAAAATAAGGGTGCATGGTGCAGATAAAAGGTTCGCGAGAGCAGAAAGAAGCTGTCGCGTTTGAAAATGGGAGAGGGCATTCATTCCAATTTTCCCCCTGTAGATTCATGGCCAGTGAATAAGAAAGCTGACAGCTGAGGCGAAGAACACTCCGAATGCAGAGTCTGTCTTTTGTTGCTCTAGACTAACTTACAGGTAATACTTCCACTCCATTTAATGATGGACTCCATCTTTCTCATGCGCCTCCAACCGAGACTTTTCCCTCGTACACCCGATATAGAATCGCATGGATGATTATGGTGGAGGAGGAGAGGAACGAGGAAGATGATCAAGGCGGGAGCCTAGTGCAGGCTCTGATTACTCTGTTCTTTACATTCAACAATGTGTTTGAGTTTTGAATCCACCTTTCTAGCAGGTAGAATGCAGCACTATTATTTGCGAGACGTGTATGTCACCGAATTGCACAGAAATACATTTACAGATTGCATATTTAAGTAATGTTACTGGATAATTCACTTTTTTCTCTTTTTTATTTGTAGTGATTTGTATTGAAGCTTGTTTACGCCACTGAATAAAAAAAAAGAAAAAAATAATTGCGACTTTTTATTTCACAATTGCGAGATATGAAGTCGGAATTGTGAGAAATAAAGTCGCAATTGTGAGATATAAAGTCGCAATTGCGTGTTATAAAGTCAGAAATGCAAGATATAAAGTCAGTATTGCGTGATATAAAGTTGCAATTGTAAGAAAAAAAAGACAGAAGTGCGACTTTTTATCTCACAATTCTGACTTTTTTTCTCACAATTGCGAGTTTACATCTCACAATTCTGACTTTATAACACATAATTGCGACTTTATATGTCGAAATTCTGACATCTTTTCTCAGAATTGTGAGATATAAACTCTCAATTGCTAGTTATCACAGTCCAATTCTAAGGGGAAAAGAAGACAAACTTTTTTCCTCAGAATAGTTTATATCTCACAATTCTGACTTTATATCACGCAATTATGACTTTATATCTCGCATTTCTGACTTTATAACGCAATTGTGACTTTATGTCTCGCAATTCTAAATTTATATCAAGCATTTCTTGCTTTATAACACGCAATTGCGACTTTATATCTAGCAATTGTGACTTTATATCTCGCGATTCTGACTTGTATCTCGCAATTTTGACTTTATATCACGCAATTTTGACTTTATATCTCGCAATTCTGACTTTATATCTCGCAATTCTGGAAATAAAGTCTGAATTGTGAGAAAGTCACAATTACCTTTTTTTATTTTTCATTCTGTGGCAGAAACAAGCTTCCATAGATTTGTATTGTGAAATGCATTCTAGAAATACATTTTGATTAATAAATTATTTTGCCAGAAACTCTACGGAGCCCCTAAGGAGAGACAGGTGACATATATGTCTAACAAATAATAGTGCTACATTCTACCTGCAAGAAAAGTGGATTCAAAATAAAAACATTGTCGAATGTCAAGAACAGAGTAATCAGAGCCTGCACTAGCTTGGCTCCTGCCTTGGTGGTCGGGAAAAATATGAGTTGGGAAGAAAAAAATGATGTCAATGCTTCTCTCTCTCAAAAACATTGAGTTCCCTTGAGAAACTTTGCATTCTCTCTTAAATTGATTGCGTTCCCCCGAGAAACTTTGCATTCTCTCGCAAAAGTATTGTGTTTTCCCAAGAAACTTTGCATTTTCTCGGAAAACTATTGCGTTCCCCCGAGAAACATTGCATTTGTTCGTTAAAGCACTGTAATATAATTATTTCGTATATATATATATTCATACCATTTCCATCACAAAATGGGGGAATGCAAAAGTTGCCATCTCTTTAGTTCTTTTTATTTTACCTGGTGTCACCTTACAGAGAAACAAAGCTTTTGATAACAAGGCTTTTGTGCCTCTGGCAAAGACTTTATTAATGACTCAGACAAGATTACAAGCTGATCTTGTGTTGTTCTGTTAGGATCACTGGGTCTCCATCAAAGGAAAGAGCTGGAGAAGGATAAGATGAGACAGTACTCACCTCCATGGAGAATCGGCGGTGCTGGGCTTTGTTGCGGTACTGCAGTTGTGTGGGAGATTGAGCCTGGCTCTCTGGAGCCACTGGACTGGGTTGCAGGCTGTGTAGACCCAGACTATTGGGCACCACACCTGTAGGACACAATCACACCCTTACAGTTACTTTACATACATATAGATGACTTTGTACTCGTTTAATAGCTACCAAATATGATTATTTGGTCAATACTGTAAGGATTTTCTGTCTGATTGTAGTTCAGTAGATGGAGCTGATACTATTCAGCAACCGTCCTGTAGTCTCAGTTCATTTAATATTTATAAGGAGTATTTGACAGTGTTCTTGTGTCTTGTGGTTTTGAGTGATAGGTGAGGAAAAGTGCATTTTATGAAAGAATGGAAGCAGGAGATTGTAAGTGAGCGCTTCTGAACATGTTGAATAGATTCACTCCAAAGACATAAAAAAATAAAAATCCTTGGTACATACTGTACGGTAAGCTTATTTCCCCCAGTTCCTAGTACTCAAAGCCTATAGTTTTAGTGATCCTGCTGTGATTTGTTTGGTTGTTGCTTCTATTAGTCCGTAAACTTCAGCGGTAACCGTTGCATTCGTTAGGTCATAAGAGTCGTTTGAAGAGCCTCAACAATCTCTCGTGCTGCTTTTGAGTGCGAATGAGCCATAGACGTCCCACCTCTTCTCTGATTAGCCCGCTAACTCAATAACCGTGAGGTCAGCTTTGGCATATGCTGATGACGGCATCATTAATCAAGCCCACCGCGGTTAGTGGAGCGATCGCAATTATCGCGCTGAGTTTCATGCATTTATGATGTGGCTATCTAAGTGCGTGTCAATCCAGCCACCCCAATTAATAATGTCTGTGTCAACAGACTGTCAGCACAAATCCAATTACGCCCCTATACGGCGCGTCCGATAGGGACCCGACGACCCCCTTCGCAAGCGCATGGCAGATGCCCACGGCAGCCTGGCATTATCACTGCCAAAACGTGTTTTCGGAGGTGAGAACGAAAATCAAAAATGGCTTTTCTGCTCCATCAGTTCAATTTGGACGAGGGGGCTTGAAGGGCCTCGAGAGGCGTCGGGGTGGGAGACCCCGTCCATTTCACAGCGCCGTGCCGGCATAATTGAGATCCACCTCATTATTGGGCCGAGCCCATCGCTGAATGAGAATTGCCTGCCAGGTTCATCCGTTCTCATTTATGCAGGTCTCATCCTCTCTGGACCGCACAAGCGAACTCTTTATCGGAGCCGTTTAGGCGGGAACGCCACGAAATGCCACATCTGGCGGAGACGGCTGGTCGACGCGGTCGCGTTATCCACGGTTGTTTTTATCCTGTCTGAGATGATCGCGACAGCTGTTTTGGAGTCCCTGTTATGAACCCGAATATTAAGGCTGGGTTGACAAACTTGATCAATCAATCTTCATTTTAACTTGGGATTCATAAATCCTAAAATCAATCTCTTGCTGTTTTCAATTGATGCGTGAACAAAACTTCAACAAATATTATTGCGATTATTATATGGCAGGTGCACAAAAGTGAAGTTTTGTTTACGCATCAATTCAAATTTTTCTCTAAATTCAATTGAAAAAATGCTGTTTTCATGCTCTTTAACCCTGATATATATCCAAATGAATTGATATTGAATCGAGAATTGAAATCGGAATTGAATTGAAATGAATCGAATTCTTTATCCAGCCATACCTAAGAAATGAGTGAATCGGACCCTTCA